GTTGTATCCTCTGATTTTTGTCTGTAGGGATAACGTTTCTATTAACAATATCTTTCAGGACCCTTTCCTCTGTTTTATGAGCTGTGGAAAAGAAGTTCCTGTAAAATAGTCTAATAGGGGGTATAGGTGTTGTGTTAGTTGTCTCTTCGGAGGTTGCATGGCTTTTCACTTTCCTTCTTATGATGTCTTCGATGAAACCATTGGAGAAGCCGTTATTGACTAGAACCTGCCTTACCCTACAGAGTTCTTCGTCGACTTGCTTCCATTCTGAGCTGTGGCTGAGAGCACGGTCGACGTATGCGTTAACAACACTCCTCTTGTACCTGTCAGGGCAGTCGCTGTTGGCATTTAGGCACATTCCTATGTTTGTTTCCTTTGTGTAGACTGCAGTGTGGAAACCTCCGCCCTTTTCCATGACTGTTACATCTAGAAAAGGCAGCTTCCCACCCTTTTCCGTCTCGTAAGTGAAACGCAGCACGGAACTCTGCTCAAATGCCTCCTTCAGCTCCTGCAGATGTCTGACATCAGGTACCTGTGTAAAAATGTCGTCAACATACCTGCAGTATATGGCCGGTTTCAAGTTCATGTCGACTAAGACTTTTTGCTCGATGGTACCCATGTAGAAGTTTGCAAACAGGACACCTAGGGGAGAACCCATAGCGACCCCATTTACTTGCTTATACATGTGCCCATCCGGGCTCAAGAAGGGTGCCTCTTTAGTACAAGCTTGGAGTAGTTTCCTCAGAATACTTTCTGGCATGTCAAGAGGAGTACAGGCTGGATCACGATACACTCTGTCGGCTATCATTCCGATTGTCTCGTCCACAGGTACGTTGGTAAACAGCGATTCTACGTCCAACGAGGCTCTTATCCCTGTGGCCCGTGCGCCCCGCAGTAAGTCCACAAATTCCTTTGGAGACTTCAGGCCTGAAGTCTCCAAAGACTTCAGGCTGAAGGCTTGCGCCTTCAGCCTGAAGTCTCCAAAGGAATTTGTGGACTTACTGCGGGGCGCACGGGCCACAGGGATAAGAGCCTCGTTGGACGTAGAATCGCTGTTTACCAACGTACCTGTGGACGAGACAATCGGAATGATAGCCGACAGAGTGTATCGTGATCCAGCCTGTACTCCTCTTGACATGCCAGAAAGTATTCTGAGGAAACTACTCCAAGCTTGTACTAAAGAGGCACCCTTCTTGAGCCCGGATGGGCACATGTATAAGCAAGTAGATGGGGTCGCTATGGGTTCTCCCCTAGGTGTCCTGTTTGCAAACTTCTACATGGGTACCATCGAGCAAAAAGTCTTAGTCGACATGAACTTGAAACCGGCCATATACTGCAGGTATGTTGACGACATTTTTACACAGGTACCTGATGTCAGACATCTGCAGGAGCTGAAGGAGGCATTTGAGCAGAGTTCCGTGCTGCGTTTCACTTACGAGACGGAAAAGGATGGGAAGCTGCCTTTTCTAGATGTAACAGTCATGGAAAAGGGCGGAGGTTTCCACACTGCAGTCTACACAAAGGAAACAAACATAGGAATGTGCCTAAATGCCAACAGCGACTGCCCTGACAGGTACAAGAGGAGTGTTGTTAACGCATACGTCGACCGTGCTCTCAGCCACAGCTCAGAATGGAAGCAAGTCGACGAAGAACTCTGTAGGGTAAGGCAGGTTCTAGTCAATAACGGCTTCTCCAATGGTTTCATCGAAGACATCATAAGAAGGAAAGTGAAAAGCCATGCAACCTCCGAAGAGACAACTAACACAACACCTATACCCCCTATTAGACTATTTTACAGGAACTTCTTTTCCACAGCTCATAAAACAGAGGAAAGGGTCCTGAAAGATATTGTTAATAGAAACGTTATCCCTACAGACAAAAATCAGAGGATACAACTGACGATTTACTATAAAACCAGAAAAACGGCCAGCCTACTCATGAGAAACTCTCCAGACACGAAACAGAACGCTTTAAAAGAGACTAACGTCGTCTATGCCTTCAAATGCCCACTTGGGGACTGTAAGCTCCAAAAAACCCAGTATATAGGCAAGACAACAACATCTCTTTCTAGGCGTTTAACGATGCATAAACAACAGGGCTCCATTAAGGAACATATAATCTCTTCCCATAACCAAACCATCGCCAGAGAAATCCTAGTAAACAACACAGAAATCATCGATAGATACAGCGATAGCAGGCGGCTCGACGTTTGCGAGGCACTACACATCAAGAAGTCAACACCAGCAATCAACAGCCAATTATTGCACAACTATATTCTACCCACCTCAAGACTCCGCTCCAATATAGAAGCATCAAGAAATATGGACCAATAGGCTTTCTACAAACACTTCTATTCAATATCCATTGTTTCGTGTTCTGTCTTGTGTTGATACTTTTAATACCCTATTAATATCCTCTAATGCCACATCATCCTTCCCACCTTACTCAAATGTAATGCCACATCACCCTTCCCACCTCACTCAAATGTAGATATAAAATCAGGGAAACGCAAGTTCTAATCAGTTGTGTATTTGTGAAGTCTTTGAAAATGTAATAAGTTTTACGAAACGCGCCCGTGTCGCGTCAGACTAGAAATAAAAATGAATTTTGGAGAAGTGATTTTTGATTTACCTCCAACAGTGAAGCATAATGTACGAAAGATTGAGAAAATTCGTGTTAGAATTATTAATCTTACTTTTTCGGTCATATTTAATAAAATATGTCTACAGGAAAGACTGCTACCAAAATATATATATATATATATATATATATATATATATATATATATATATATATGTCGTACCTAGTAGCCAGAACGCACTTCTCAGCCTACTATGCAAGGCCCGATTTGCCTAATAAGCCAAGTTTTCATGAATTAATTGTTTTTCGACTACCTAACCAACCTAACCTAACCTAACCTAACTTTTTCGGCTACCTAACCAAACCTCACCTATAAAGATAGGTTAGGTTAGGTTAGGTAGGGTTGGTTAGGTTCGGTCATATATCTACGTTAATTTTAACTCCAATAAAAAAAAATTGACGTCATACATAATGAAATGGGTAGCTTTATCATTTCATAAGAAAAAAATTAGAAAAAATATATTAATTCAGGAAAACTTGGCTTATAAGGCAAATCGGGCCTTGAATAGTAGGCCAAAAAGTGAGTTCTGGCTACTAGGTACGACATATATATATATATATATATATATATATATATATATATATATATATATATATATATATATATATATATATATATATATATATATATATATATATATATATATATATATATATATATATATATATATAAAAATAGATAATAGGTAACAATATATAATAGGTAACAATATATAATAGATTGCTAATAGATAAAATAGATAGCCAATCTATCTATCTATAAAGATATATATATATATATATATATATATATATATATATATATATATATATATATATATATATATATATATATATATATATATATATATACATACAAAAGAATGGGGGTGGTAGGAGAAGATAATATTAGTGTTCAGTGAGAAACCACAAGGTCTCCTCTGAATACTTTTTATTTTCTTCTCCGAGGCTATGGGTCCCCACATTGGCACCAGAGAGGGTATATATATATAATATATATATATAATATATATATATATATATATATATATATATATATATATATATATATATATATCTTTATAGATAGATAGATTGGCTATCTATTTTATCTATTAGCAATCTATTATATATTGTTACCTATTATCTATTTTATATATATATATATATATATATATATATATATATATATATATATATATATATATATATATATATATATATATGTCGTACCTAATAGCCAGAACGCACTTCTCAGCCTACTATTCAAGGCCCGATTTGCTTAATAAGCCAAGTTTTCATGAATTAATGTTTTTTCGTCTACCTAACCTACCTAACCTAACCTAGCTTTTTTTGGCTACCTAACCTAACCTTACCTATAAATATAGGCTAGGTTAGGTTAGGTAGGGCTGGTTAGGTTCGGTCATATATCTACGTTAATTTTAACTCCAATAAAAAAAAATTGACCTCATACATAGAGAAAAAGGTTGCTTTATCATTTCATAAGAAAAAAATTATAGTAAATATATTAATTCAGGAAAACTTGGCTTATTAGGCAAATCGGGCCTTGAATAGTAGGCTGTGAAGTGAGTTCTGGCTACTAGGTACGACATATATATATATATAATCATTTTTTGTCCAAGGTTGGAGGCCAGGTGCTTTGAGTTAACCTCACCCAACTTTGTAGGGGAAATGGTCTGGGGTGCAGGACGGCCATAGGCTGGTAGGGTTTACCAGAATTCAAGAGGGAACAGCGTGTCCGTCACAGACTGACCCCCACGACGGATTTATGCACTTCTTGCCAACTGTGCTTGGCTAAATATTAACAAAAACAACAAAATTTATCATTATGCACTAAAATCAGGAAAATTAACAGAAATATTTTATTCATCTTACTATAACCATCAAGGGCAAGAGTTCATAAGTTTAAATCGAGCCTCCACAATCCTAGGTAAAATATTTTCCTAGAACCAGCAAAATTACTGTAATTATAATTATTTGTATTATTATTTTTTTTATTATTAAGAGGTTAGTGAAGCACTTTAGAGAGCATCGTGGTGTCCTGTTAAGCGCCCTCGGTAATGTACCTATTCTGATATTCCTGTGATTATTCTTGGAGAGCAATATATATTAAACATTCTAGACGTACATCGTGCATTACTTTGGAGTTGAGAAGCTGTTAAGCTGGGCGCTGGAGCCCGACTCCTGCAGTACAAAGAGGCCGCCTCCTGACGCCCCTCCCACAAGCCTCTTGGCCCCGCCTCTCCACCAATCACCTTCCTCTCCCTCGCTGGCCGGGTATAAATGCTCAGAAATAGAGTTCTTTTTTTCATACTCCCTCTAACTGACGTTGGTGGTGTGCTCGAAGTAACAAAGGCTCTGGGAACTGGTTATTTTTTTCAAGTGGTGAAAATGGCGGTGATATCTGTTCGTGACCCAATGTCAGCAGCTCTCACGCCGCCAACTACACCCACCAGCACACAGGACCTCCACTTCCCGCGGAAGATGTCATCCCCAGTGACCACTAGTGCGACAACCTTTAGTCCTGGATTGTCGGCGTTTAGTCCTTTGGCAACTCAAGTGCCAAGCCGGGCACACACGAGGGCGCCATTCCTGCCCCATGTGCCTGTAGCGTCTAGTGTCACTGATATGGATCCTCATCTCTCAAGAGTCTTCCACACTTACGGGGTTCTGTCATTTAGTGCCTTTCCCTGGGCCGCGATGACTGCTGGCGCTGATCAGTTTAACCAGCTTCTGCTGTCAGCGGGCGGAAGACTGACACGCCCAAAGAAGCGATACATCTGCAAGTATTGTCAACGGGAGTTTACCAAGAGTTACAACCTTATGATCCACGAGAGAACACACACGGACGAGCGGCCCTTCCCTTGCGACATCTGCGGCAAGGCCTTCAGGAGACAAGACCACCTCCGCGACCACAAGTACATCCACAGCAAGGACAAGCCCTTCAAGTGTGAAGTGTGTGGCAAGGGCTTCTGCCAGGCGCGCACGCTGGCCGTCCACGAGAGCGGCCACACAGACGCCGAGCGATGCGAGGCAGCGACATCGAAATCCAGTACAAATACCATCGAACGTACCTCCACAGTATCTGTCATACTCGTGGGCGAGGAGGATATCGACGTGGAGGCACTGGGAGGCATGATAATACACCAACCACAGATATCAACCATCCAAAGGACCCATCAAGACACTCCAGACCAGCCACAGAGACCAGCCTTCCCAAGAGCACGCCATGAGGACACCCCAGACCAGCCACAGAGACCAGCCTTCCCAAGAGCACACCAGGGGGACACCCCAAACCAGCCACAGAGACCAGCCTTCCCAAGAGCACACCAGGAGGACACCCCAGACCAGCCAAAGAGACCAGCCTTCCCAAGAGCACACCAGGGGGACACCCCAGACCAGCCACAGAGACCAACCTTCCCAAGGACCCCACAGAGGGACACCCCAGACCAGCTACAGAGACCAGCCTTCCCGAGGACCCCACAGAGGCACGCCACAGCTCACCAGCATCTGGCACCACAACGGAAAGGCTTTACAATCGTCGACCTATTGAGTTAACACGTGACCACGTCTTCAGGTACCGACCCAACGTCCACCACCTCCCTCTTGTCCACTCTTCACGTGCATTCTGCTCTATCAACTTCGCTAGAGCTTTTAATATAAATATTGTGTAAATAAAATTATTATCTTCACTTATTAGAACACAATAAATAAACTACTTTAGCGCGTGTTTAAATCAATTCCATGTAACAAATCTGGTACAATATGAACACTACTTGAATAACTGATGAATAAAAAGAATTAACTTATTGCTAAAATTTAAATGTTTCTGAGCATATTAAGAGAGTTAATGACCTATAATAATATAACTGGCAATAATCACCTTTTAACATTTGGCAAATAATATAATCTGCTTTAAAAAAATCTTTATCAAAATATTTTCGAAACTTTCGAACACAAAATATCTTTTTTTTTTTTTAACCAGACATCAGAAAGTGAAGAAACGACGTTGTTTCGGTCCGTCGTGGACCATTATCAAGTCGAGTAATGAACTATCGATCAGGTTACGTTTCTAAGTCTTGAACTACGGGCTAAAAGCTGACCCCTTACTCCGATGTGGCAGTGCGCTCTCTCACACACACACACACACACACACACACACACACACACACACACACACACACACACACACACACACACACACACACACACACACACAACCGATAGCTAGAAAGGCGGGATCCAAGAGTCAATGCTCGATCCTGCAAGCACATATAGGTGAGTATATAGGTGAGCACACACACACACACACACACACACACACACACACACACACACACACACACACACACACACACACACACACAGGGGGGCCTCGTAGCCTGGTGGATAGCGCGCAGGATTCGTAATTCTGTGGCGCGGGTTCGATTCCCGCACGAGGCAGAAACAAATGGGCAAAGTTTCTTTCACCCTGAATGCCCCTGTTACCTAGCAGTAAATAGGTACCTGGGAGTTAGTCAGCTGTCACGGGCTGCTTCCTGGTGTGTGTGTGTGTGTGTGTGTGTGGTGTGGAAAAAAAAAGTAGTTAGTAAACAGTTGATTGACAGTTGAGAGGCGGGCCGAAAGAGCAAAGCTCAACCCCCGTAAAAACACAACTAGTAAACACACAACTAGTAAACACACACACACACACACACACACACACACACACACACACACTAAACAAATGTTTTAAGTTAGGTTAAAATAGTAGGCCTGGTCGAGGACCAGATCACGGGGGACGCGAAGCCCGGGAATCATCACAAGGAATCATCGTCGCAAGGTAGGTTAGGTTAACCTGTATATTAGTCGGCAGATCTCGCTTCCAAAATCACGTCCGCTGAGCTAAGCTCTTTACATCATATTTTCCTATAGCAGTACTGCTCGACCAACACTCTAGAGTGCTGTCAGGGGTACACCAGGACTAAGGGGTTCCTTGTGGTATATATCTTACTTCAGGACTAGGGAGACGTCCGTGGTGTATCAGGTACACCAGCCCTTGCGAGTACGGTCTTCTCCCATGGGGGTCTGGCACGGGCCCGACCCCCATGGGCCGAGAGCCGAGCATTGTGTCCGGCAGAACTGAGTCAATTGTCTGACCTCTCGCTGGAGGAGGAGGCTTGTTGAGGGCTCTTATTCTCCTCCACGCGCTCTCATTTTTCCTTTTAACTGCCTCTTAAAAGATATGAAACTGGGGCTTTATGAAGCCAAAGAGAGAAATCGTTTCTCACTTGACGTATTCATGCTTGTGATCTTGTCGGGGGTGGGGTGGGGGGGGGGAACTGACTCTCCCTGGCCACAATAGTCAGCTTGTGCGGGAGGGAGGGAGGAGCACCCATAAGGAAATTGTGTTACTTTCTATTTGATTTGGTGAGAAACAAGAAGAAGCAGCTAACTGAACAAAGTGTATAGAAGCTAAGTACATTTCCTTCAGGAATTCAAAGATTTAGGGAAAAACTGAGATCAGAAGTTCATAATTACAAACGAAAATGTGTTAATCTCACGTGTCAAATCTGAATACATTCTTACATTGTCTTTCCTTGGCAGTGGTGTATGTGCAGACTTAATACATTACAATTAATATGAGGTTCGGAGGATGGCCACTGTAATATTCCTTACATGAAGAGCAAAACTACTAGTTGTATGTAGAATGAATCCTTACCTAAGTAGTTGGTGCGTTGGGTACACGCCTATTGAGGTCTGTGATAGTAGAACACAGACAGGCCTGTTGGCCACTGCGCTACTTGAAGAACACAGGAGAGCCAATTAAAAACTACAGGAGAGTTTTTAATTAGCTCTACAGGAAAGTCAATTAAAACATGAGAATAAATAAAATTGCAGAAGGCCTATTAGCATATGCGAAGCAGCTCCTATTTATACCCAACAATGTGTACTCATCTAGTTGTGCTTGCGGGGGTTGAGGTTCGGCTCTCTGGTCCCGCCTCTCACATATCAATGAATTGGTGTACAGATTCCCAAGCCTACTGGGCTCTATCATATCAACATTTTTAAACGATGGAGTCAGCCTCCACCACATCACTGCCTGCCATGTGTGTAAAAGGACTTCCAAATCTTATTTTGTTTGTATTTACAAAAAATTACCTGAGGCAGGGACAGGAAGCCGGCGGCTTGTCACTTATCTCTCAAGTTGTTCCTGAGGCGATTGACAGCGCCTTGAGTGCATCAGAATGTGCTAAAGAGATTGTTTCAGAACGATCTTCAATACAGATAACCTCGATTTAATTATTAATTAAATTTTTAGATTCAATTCTGAAAATTGGACCAACTTGGGTATGGTGTTGGGGTTAATGTCTATCAACCTCTGGAGAGTCATTGAGGCCACCACAGTAACTTACTGACCAACCAGCAACTATAGAATTTTTTCTTGAAAACTATCCAGGACAGTTATAAATAACTAAGTTATATATAACTGTCTAAGTTACATATAACTGTCCGGTTATATATTCTTTTTGTAAAATATACACCAAGAAGCGGGACAAATCTCTCTGTGTACGCATGTCTTGACCAGCGGTGTATGGAAGCACTGCAGTATACATCTATGACATACAGCATAAAACTGCTGAACCACTCCAAAACATGTGTGTGACACGTGACAGTTAAGACGAGGGACTGGGCGGCACTACAGCCAGTGATTACAAGATGTTTACCAATTCCGTCTTCAGCTTCGTTCAGTGGTCAACATGTGGACCGCCTCAATAACAACCCCATCCCGTGCCTCTCGGCCGTACAGCGACCTCATGAGGGAACAGAATAGAAAAGAAAGGTAAGAATGGAAGCCCATCAGTGACCTCTGTTTGCTCCAGAAAGGTCAGAGAATGACCTTTTGGTGGCTCTCGAGATGACCTCCGACGCGGGCTTTGTGCCCATTGTAGTAAAATAGACTCCCCACACGACCGTAAGTTGATAACGGAAAACGGAGAAAGGGGTGACTACGTTAGAGGTTCCATGGTCGCGCGTACCCATCTGCACGTTTGAAAAGAGTCCTTGTGGGAACCCGCTTAGCAAATAAAGGCTTAAGAGGATGAGAACTTGACGAGAATTGTGTGCGCTGTTTTTATCTTATTTTGACAACAAATAGATTTTATACACACACATACACACACACACCCAAAGGAGCTGAACCTCACATCCCTGGAAAACAGAAGAGTAAGGGAGACATGATAACCACCTACAAAATTCTCAGGGGAATTGACAGGGTGGACAAAGACAAACTCTTCAGCACGGGTGGGACACGAACAAGGGGACACAGGTGGAAACTTAGTACCCAGATGAGCCACAGAGACGTTAGAAAGAATTTTTTCAGTGTCAGAGTAGTTAATAAATGGAATGCACTAGGAAGTGATGTGGTGGAGGCTGACTCCATACACAGTTTCAAATGTAGGTATGATAGAGCCCAGTAGGCTCAGGAATCTGTACACCAGTTGATTGACAGTTGAGAGGCGGGACCAAAGAGCCAAAGCTCAACCCCCGCAAGCACAATTAGGTGAGTACAATTAGGTGAGTACTGTAAGGAATCATTCAGAATCTTGTATACCACATATGTAAGACCAATCCTGGAGTATGCGGCCCCAGCATGGAGCCCGTACCTTGTCAAGCACAAGACGAAGCGGGAAAAAGTTCAGAGATATGCCACTAGGCTAGTGCCAGAACTAAGAGGCATGAGTTACGGAGAAAGGTTGCGAGAAATGCACCTGACGACACTAGAAGACAGAAGAGTAAGGGGGGACATGATCACTACCTATAAAATTCTCAGAAGAATTGACAGGGTTGATAAAGATAAACTGTTAAACACGGGTGGTACGCGAACAAGGGGACACAGGTGGAAACTGTGTACTCGATCAAATGAGCCACAAGGACGTTAGAAAGAACTTTTTCAGTGTCAGAGTAGTTAACGGATGGAATGCATTAGGCAGTGATGTGGTGGAGGCTGACTCCATACACAGTTTCAAATGTAGATATGAGCCCAATAGGCTCAGGAATCTGTACACCAGTTGATTGACAGTTGAGAGGCGGGACCAAAGAGCCAAAGCTCTTTGGAGAGCTTTGAGAGAGAGAGAGAGTGACAGAGAGAGAGAGAGAGAGTGAGAGAGTGAGAGAGTGAGAGAGAGAGAGAGAGAGTGAGAGAGAGAGAGTGAGAGAGTGAGAGAGAGAGAGAGTGAGAGAGAGAGTGAGAGAGAGAGTGAGAGAGAGAGAGAGAGAGAGAGAGAGAGAGAGAGAGAGAGAGAGAGAGAGAGAGAGAGAGAGAGAGAGAGAGAGAGAGTGAGAGAGAGATCGACCGACCGACCGACCCCGCCCCCGCCTTCCCCCATAGCCGTCCTTACAAAGAAATCGCCTAAATCCCGCCTCAAACTAAAGAGCGACTGAAAACATTTTAATGCTTGCATGCCATGGCCATGACCAGTCGATTTAAAAAAACAAGTGACATGTATAAGAGACGGAAGTTCGATCCCATGCCACGTCTCAATATTTTCTCGATGTATTACCTTTAGGCGGTATTATCTGATGTTAAAATATATTTGCCGTAGTTTCCTTTAATCCTAAATGGTTCACCTCTACTGAGTGGTAATTTGAAGACTCTTAGGAACGATAGTTTTTGGTAAAACTCCTTT